GCGGCAACCTACGACTTGGTCACCGGTCGAAGCATGCCGTGCATTTTGCGGTTGCCAATCGTCAAGCTTCTTGGAAGTTCCTGCCCTGACGCCATTTCACAAGCGAAAGTCCATAAACAGTTATTACCTCATTAAAAAAACACACACCAGAATGACCTTCCCTGTCCTGCATTTTGATCCTTTTTACATCTTTTTACTACAAACTCTCCAAAACGCTAGTGCTTGACCTCAAAAAACAGGTCTTCAGTCTTAAGGCCACCCACTTCGTAAAGGAATGGCAATGGAGATCTTCGGTCTACATTTCTATCATTTCTCTAGTCTTTACTTGTGGCGATTTTACTCTAGTATCATGGACCTACTTTTGGATCTTTTTGTAACTTTCCTCTGGTATTGTATTGTTTCTTGTCACCACACTTCTCTAGGAGTTGGTGTATACTTCTAAGACATCTCCGTGCTTTTGGGCGTTCTTCGTGTTTGCGCAGCCCTGATCTTCTGAATTCTCCGATCCACTCTCCAATGTCAGGGTGATGCACACCGCCTCCAAAGCCCTTCGCGCAGCCCTGACACGCGCGCAAACGTCGCTGGACCTGACTACCATTTTGCCCCCCTGACCGCTCTTTACTTACACCCCCAACCAACCAACACACGCACACACACTGCACACACACACAAACCAACGGCAACTTTGCGCAATTCCTTTGACTAAAGCAAGCTCGAAGCAGGTGCAATACAACTGCAAGAAACTTCAATAGAACGAAGGTGGAAAAGCAAGCTGGATGTGGCTCCAAGGCTTAACATGCTTAACAATTCGGCCGAGGAACGACTGACGGTATGCCTCCTGGGTGGAGATACAGTAGACTCCTCAGTGCAATTTATGACATGACCCGTCTAAGTCCATATGTGTCTAATCAATTGACGTTGGCTTGTGAGGCTCAACCTTTTCGCGCTTTCAGCTCCTCTTCAGCTTCTCTGCTTTGTGCTCCATCTAAGTTCGGTGCTTTCAGCTCCGCACAAGTCGGAAACGTCGTCTTTGATGGTCGTCATGGTGTCCATCAGAATCTCAGCCTTGATGCTGTCGTCTAAGCCATCCTTCACTCCTGAAAATCCGGAGACGTCTGATCTGGGATACTTTGTGTTTGCTGGTGGCACCTGAGGGGCCTTCAAACCAAAAGTGACCGTCATACATCTTCATACAAAAGTACACAAATTCAGAAGCAACATCAGGCCTCGGGCGTCCCATACAGACTGTTCATTCATGTATTCCCGCCTAGGAGCACAGTTCACAGCAGAATAGAGATCAAACATATCAAAAGAATCTACCTGCCGCCTGCTGCTATCTATATAGTCCCAACAATTTATGCCAAAGCCCAGTGCACCTGGCTGAGTTTTGGCCGCTATGTGCCAAGTGGCTCGATATCAACATCCATCTTGTTTCTCACAAGCACGTACGGCACCTGACAGAACAAACTTCTTCTCATAGCACGTCAGCACATACGCGTTGCCACAGAGTTTGGGCGGTCTCTCGGGCCTTCCAGTGCTTCAACTCATCAAGCAAAAGGAGCTCGGCTTCAGAGAAAGTGTTGTCCATCATCCTGGCACTTGAGCCATCCACTGGATGGACTGGAGATTCACAAACCAGCATGCGCGTTTCGCCGCCCGGGGTCACCCGACGGATCCGTGCAGCCCAAGAGGCACGACGACCAGGTCGAAGTGTCGAAGGCCCAGCAAAGCCATGTACTGATCGCCTGGGTAGCCTGCGGCACCCAAGGGTGGCAAGTCCTCAGTGATCCACATGATCCACCGAAGGGTAGCAGTGCCGAGAGCTTGCTCATGAGGTCAATACGGCTTCGATCCAAGTGGCCCAAAGCATACAAGGAATGTCTGACCTGAGAATTTCAAAACAAACTTCTCACCAGGTGACTTGTTTTACACTTGTGGGGTTGAGATGGGTTGAGCAGTTGACATGATTCAATGCATTCTTCCAAGTACAGCTACGGTATACTCAAGCCTGTCATATATGATCGAGCTTTCTGATACTCGTCTGCCCATTCAACTAAGTCAATGACATCACACATTACATCGGCAGGGTGCATGGTCTCACTGTCACCGTAATGAAATGCTTGATACATTGTCTAGTCTAGCACAACCAACTCATCAATTGCAGCCAGATCGACGGAGATGAGTAAAGGTATGCCACGGGTTCTCTCGTTGTGGTGGGCTTGGTCACTTGCTCATTGCCCATAAATACTCTCAAGAATGAAGACTTTCCGACACCTGGGTTGCTATGCATGGACACAAGAAGGATCAACATACAGTAAATCATAAATGCTAATCAATGCAAGCAGATGCAAGCATACATCTCATCTCAGATTATCTAATCAAACAAGGCGCAATCTAAGACTTTTCCCGCACTTGAGACAGTGGTTGTTGAAACAAAATGTAGCAAACGATCTGCCGGGACACTTTGGTTGCCTGCCACTGCAATTGTGACGGCACCCTTCTGTCTTGCATTGTACAAGTAGTCAGGTACCTCGGTTTGAGGACTGGCACCTTGATAAAACATATTGGATCGGTCATGATGAATCTCCATCGCCTTGAGTGTGTGATGCTCAAAAATGCAACATGATTGTTGTGATAAGTTTTCGAGGGGCTTTGCCCGAGAGATCTTAGATTTCCATGAAGTTTGGTCTCAAGGCATCTCGAATCCAAGCAACCAAGTAGGCTCTCACCTGCTCTCCTCGCGCAAGCTGCTGCTCCCGCCAGGCATCTCGCAGAGTCTTGATGGCACCCTGCGGACAAGACAACATGCGCTTATTCTTTTATTTTAACGATGTTCGAGATATTTCAACGATGTTCGATGCACCCCGTGCGCCATTCAACACCGAAGAAGTCGGGCGAGAAGTCATGATCCGTTTGCCCTGTCCTCCAGGCGCTGCTTTGCAGCCTGGACAATCTCTGGCGCCATGCGGTTCAGCAGCACACCGGTGCTCTCCTCGCATGTCCAGCTAGGAAATGTTTATGTTTGGGGCCTCTCTGACCGGCACACAAACACATACAGAATATGATATGACTTTATATGACATCTAGCTGTACTGTATCTGGTCCACTTGTATTGTCAACGCATGCCAAGTGGCGCGGGCATCCGTGTAGTTCTCTGCAGCACGGAAGAACATTTGTCGCGCAAATTGCACCTTCCAGGATGTAGTCAGCCATGGCTTTTGTCTGGAACATCCTAAACTGTTGTTTCTTTTGTATCTTGTAAAGTATGCGGCAACCATGCTCCTATTGGAGGTGAAATAATTGATAGCAAATTGCCTCCCCATGCCTCCCCCAATTCTGTGGAAGCATATCTCTCTCTGCCTCTTTGTCCGCCATGTCCGGGCGTTTGAGGCTCCGTCCGCCACCAAGCCCCAGCAAGCTGCCCGGGTTTCCCCCGGTGGCGACCCACGTGACAATCGCGGCCGAAGTAGCTAGCCTGAAATAACAAGCCGAAGAACTGCAGGGCAGTAGTAGGCAGCAAATGAAAAAGCATTAAACACAGACCTCACCTCATGATACACAAACCTGCCCTACATTCTGCCACATCCAATCAAGCTGAGAGACACAATCTCCCCTGTAGAAAACTCATTGGCTGCCCGTGCCACACGGGGAACTCTGGGCCGAAGCGCACGGCAAGGCAGGTGGACTCTGGGCCGCCAGTCTGGCAGAAATGGCGTCCTGCCAGAACCCATCGGCTTTATTGCGTGCAAATGTTTGGCTTTCCTGTCTGGATAGGGTTGTTCCAAAGAACTAGGTGGTGTGCAAACTTCTGCCAAGTGGTTCCATTCAAGCAGTGAAGTGAACATGCTACTAGGTCACAAAGCGCACCCCGTTTTTCTTCGTTTGAAATTGAGTTCTGGATGTGAGACCTTTGCTGGCGTCGGCGAGAGCTAGATAAGTATGTTGCAGTGCCAAGCGGCAGCTGTTTTAGCTGCATCTCACGGTCGGGCAGTTACTGAACCACACATTTAGAATCGGATTATTATTCAGCCATATAAAAACGGCGTATACCTATAGACCGTATAGACAGCACAATCATCAAGAACTGCCGTAGTCGCAATGCCACACCTCACAAAGGATGTGGGCACTGGGAGGACCTTGGCATGTCAGGCCTTTAGCCTGAGACATGATCCGAGATGTGGACTAAAATGATGCCTTTCCTCTAGAGGAGGTGATCAGCGGGACTCAGTCAGTGCACCTCTCCCTTGTTCTTTTCGCCATCATGGCCGGGTAGACCGGAAAGGCCTCAAGGGTGGCAAAGCCTTCTTCAAGGAACCCAGCGAAGCACAGCGTGGGAGAAAGTCACCCTGAGTCGTCAGTGAATGAAGCTTCTGAAGGCCACGGTAGTCTGCTGGCAAGGACAGGAGCTCTTTTTGACGAAGACTTTTGGAAGGAGATCCTGCCATATACCAAGCAAGTTTCAATTGTGCAAATGGTTCAAGAGGTGCACCAACCTCCTGCAACAGTTGAGCTGAAGGCTGTCGCTTCAGGGTTGGAGCACTTGAGATCTTGTGCATGGTACGAGTATGAGGCTGTAACTCGCACTCGAAAACGGTGGGAGCTTTTGACCCAGGGATGCTTGGAATGGGCTCGGATGTTTCAGCCTTGCTACTCCGCTGCTTGAAGACTGCAGCCAGGCGACCGTTGCCAGCAGCCTTGAGCAGCAGGTCACGTGCCTCTTGACGCAACATCTCGACCTGGTCGGCGGGACTGTTTTCAACCTCCAGGACAGTTCCCGTGAGATTCTGAGATGCTAGCACCTCAAACTCGCCAGTCTCCGTGTTGTGAACCTCCTGGAAATCATCATCTTCCTCTTCCTCATCCCTGAAGCCTCTGACTTCGTGGAAATCGGCTGTGTTTTCTTGGACAGCAGCCCAAGAGGCTTTGGCAAGGTCAAGCTGCATAGCTTGTTTCAAAGCACCTGAGGCCAAACCACATGCAAAATGAACAAGTTCTCCTTCATCCTCAGAATCCCCATTGAGGCTCAGCACGTCATCTTCCATTTCATAACATCCATCGTGTTTCAGCATCTCCTTTGACACGTCACAGTCCTCTGCCACAGCCCCTCTGATCAATCTCATGGCCATCAAGTGTGCGCACTCCTCTGGTTCAAGCTCCACGTCAATGGCCTGAACCATTCCATGTGTGAACAACCAAACCAACGATAAAAGGTACAAGGACCTGCTGACCGCTTCCGGCTCCCTCATGTAAATGTGAGAAGAATGCTGACATTACATGGGCCATGGTAGAGTTGTGCTTGGGTTTCCCCTCACTGGCGGTTGACCCGGACGGCCATACCCTGCCCCGCCTTGCATCTTGCCATGCCAAGAAGGGAAGCAGCAACAGCTAAGTCTTCTAGGCTGAGCTAAATCAAACAGTCTGAGCCAACAAATGCGATCTTCGCACGCAGCAATTCACATAATTACATGCGACCTTTGCTCAGGGAGGGCAGTGGAAAAATAATCTACATGACACTTGCGTTTAACGCTCACAAATGTGTTGTCCCAATAGCTCCTAAGTTCCTTAGCCGCAGACTTCGTCCTGGCCTGTGTCTGCCGGCACCGAGCAAAGGCTCAGGAAGCATGGCAGGCATGGCAGGCTGCATGGCAGGCTGCATGGCTCGGGATGGCTGGTCTAAATGCCAAGCTCTGGCCCTTTGCCACCCAGAGCTACAACATGCCAGTACTGTGAACTAGAAATCCGCCTGCGACAAGTGAGGTTGTCGCCATCCGTGGCTTCGTCTGCAGCTTCTTGGCTTCGTGGCTGTGTCTAGTGTGGCTAGTCTGCAACTGTCAAGAGGAGGGGGATGCATGAAGCCCAAGCTAGCCCAAATTGCAGAAAACAACCGCATTCAGTTCGTGAGTAGCAGCACCCGCGCTGCGCACACTTTGACCCGTCTCAGCAAGACTGCCCCAAGAGCTGATGTATGATGTCCAACCTTGTCGAGAGCCATCATCAAGGAGTTCAGCACCAAAATGTTTGGAGGAACCTCACGGTTCTGTCAAGAAGCACAGGGCATCAAAACTGCAATCCCACTGGTACCCCCAACCGGTGAGCCGAGGTACCTTTACCACACACCATGCTTTTGCAGAAACACTGTAAGCGACATGCGAACACATCGCAGAAAGAGAGAACCAACAAAGAGAGACCCAACGGAGCAAACCAGCCATTCTGGATTCATGTGAGTCTTGATCCAAAGGGGACCGTTTATGTTGGATCTGCTGGTTGTGTTCTTGAGCTCCCAGGATCCTTCTGTATTGCTCGCCATGTAGTACATGTAGTCTATGCCAGGGATCAGGATGGATCAGGGAAAAGCGCGGATCAACAACAGCAGAACAAACAAAACCTGTACATCTCACCGGCTGCTTTGACTCGCCCCCTGCCTCGAAGAGAGGAATGCTGCCTAGACTGCCAACGACAGCTCATTAAAGGCACAAAACAACTATAACTATAGTATCGACATGTCTGAGTACGTCTGCCCCTTAGCCCCTTAGCACACACAAGAACATTGGTGCGAAAAGCAAGCCCAATAGACTATAGAGTCAATAGAGGTCCACTAATGTAGACAGTTCGTCTCTGCAAATGGGGTGCTCAAAAGCGCAACGGCAACCTCCCATTTGGCTGCCTGCTGAGTGCATGTGACAGTGAGGCTTGTTCAGCAAAAACTTGGTTGTGGCTAAACTCTGACTGCACACACAACTATCAGCAGTTTAGTAGCTTGAAGATTCTGACAGTGAAAGTCAGTCAAACATGGCCAGTGGAACATGCATGCACGAGGTCTCGCGCAGGTTGTTTGTGTGTCCAGCCACTGCCTTGCCAAATGAAGCCATGGTGGCACCGAGGTGGACGATGTTTACTTCTACGCCTCGGTGTACAACTGAACCATCCCATCGAGAGAATGAACTCGAATTGAGCTTAGTTTGGCAAGTGGCCTCCCTAGTGTCATCTGGAATAAAAATAAACCCGCTGCAACAACATTGGCGGCTCTGTTGGAACCTGGAAGCCGCTTCAGGTTCCAATATATATATATATATATTATATGCACATAATCCATATATATATATATACGGTCACTGGCTCCACACCTGCCAGTTTAGCTTGTTGAAGTGTCGCCAGACTTTTCTGCCATGAAGCCCGGCCTCGCCAAGGACCGGAATCGTAACTCTCCGTGCAACACGGTGCCCGGCCATGCCAAAAGCACTCGTGTAAGTAAAACACTGTCAAAAGCACCTATTCATCAAAAGTCACTGATCACCCAGTTTGGCTGGTCATTGTGTGCCGATGCCAACATGAGGCTATTCGTGGATATACTCATCTAGACCCGTGCAATCCGTTTCAGCGCCTAAGGCTGCTGTCAAAGCAGCACCATGAGGCACCTCAACAATCTGAAAACCAACCAACGACCGGGTGACCCCGTTAAGAAACCGTTTAAGTCTGAGATTGCATCGTCATGTTCTATACAGTATTTTCTTTGCTTCTTCTACCCAGTTTGAGTGAAGCCCAACAAAAACGGAGACATCGTGCTAGTAAAGCCTCTGTAAAACAGGCTGACGCTTTGCTGAGATTCTGACATGCTGGCCCTTTGTACCGAGCATGATTGCGCAAGGACATGGCACAAATCGATGAGCCAATTGGGAAGCATTAGTAGCTCCTAGCGACTAGTAACAAGGCTGCTAGTAACAAGGGCATTACTACTAGTTAGTATATGTTAGTATATAGCTAGAAGATGCTAGAAGCTACTTACTAGTAGCAAGGTGCTGACTTGCAAATGCATCTGAATGGAGTTGTGGTTGGAAGAATGTGCATCCTGTGTCACTGTGTCACTCTATTGTTTGCGTCCTTCAAGTACAGCTCCCAAGTTGTGTTGAACTTGAAACTCAAGCCAGTCTGGTTTCAAACTATATACTGCTCAGTCAGGATATAGTATATCATCTGGTTGAGTTCTGCTAGCAAATGTCCACAGCGTCTTTTTAAACCAATGAAGCACCATACAGCCCTGAAGCGCAAACCCCTTTCCTAAGCAATCCCATACAGCAATGCAAAGGTTCTGAGGAGGCGTACGGTGCCGAATAATTGATGTATAGTCATGTATAGTCACTATATTGCATCACTATATGTCACTATCGTCACAGAAGCGGTTGCAACAACCAAAGCTTGAAGACTGACTTAATATCTTCAACTCGGAATCGCCCCGAGTGAAAAAAACACCACAACGACGGATCACACGGATCACCCGGATCGCTCCCTCGGATCACGGATCACATGATTTTCAGGCTCAAACTAGATGTTCAAACCTGGATGCGCTACAAGTGGCGGATCTTGGCTGTTGTCAGGATGTCTTCTGCTCAAGTCCTTGTAGGCCTGTCCATGCAGTCCGCGGCCGCAGCCCTACATGAGCCCCTAATCAACCGCTGCGGGCGCCGCCACTAGGATGGCCGAAGTAAATCCAAGGTTTGCATCAAAGCATTGCCCCCCAACTCCAAAGTAGGTCTTGGCAGCATCATACCTTAGTTGGCATCGGAACTTTGGGATGCAGCCTGGCTGATATTTCTTCTTCCAAGCATGTACGCTCTCCTACGATTGTGCTTGTTAGATTATGAGATCTGCGAAGTCCGGCGCCACTTCTGGGTGCTAAATTTCTTTGAGCTCAGGTGCACCAAGAAGGTCAATGCAATGCCAGGTGAGTAGATGAGCACTCGTGCCCCAACTCCTGATATTGCGGCTTTCTTCTGCCAGAACGATAAACAAAACTAGCTTTTAACGTCATTTGCTAGCTGCTATATAATTGCGTGAAAACAAAGGCAGCTAAAAACGTGCGACGGCCAAGAGTCCGCGAAACAGCTTGTCAAGGCTAGGAATCTCTGTGCCACCACCTGCATCGATCATTATGTTTGGGTCAGCGCTTCTCACTGTGAGTGTTGCTCGGGGGGGCCAAAGAAAGCACACGTCGATATTGCTCTGATGGGGTCAGAAAGCAAGCCCCCCTTTGGAAAGTGAATGGACCGCCACAAGAATCACTGAGAGTCTCAATCCAAATGTGAATAAATGAGCCATACTATGAGACATATGATGTATACCGTCTGTATATACCTGCATCCACAAAACATCACAATACCATAGAAAATCAACAATTACTGTACCCTTCGCTAGGATACATGTTTCAGCTCGGGCATCGATGAGGTTTCCCACTGGTTGCCACGCTCTGCCAACATACATCTTTAAGCGTCTGCTCAGAACGAACTCACACACACACACACACGCGCGGGTTTTAAGCAACAAACACAAAGGACCAATCCAATAGCGGGCTGTGGCCAGTCACGCCTGACTTGTTCGAACATCAAGAAAGTTAAGCAAAATGGCACAGCTAGGCTAGGGTGGTTTCAGTTCCAACACGTGGACTCCGCTTTAGCCTTGCAGCAGTACACTCTGCTGGTGACGTTGTTCATGACTTGCTGTTCACAAGCGGACTTGTGACCATGTTGCGCCTGTGGTGCGCAAAGCAAAAATGGTGTCAATAGGGTGCGATGTAATCGCTCCACATGCTCCGGCAAGGGCACCGCAAAAGCATGCGATGAGGAGAGGCTGCGCCTCTCGGAACGCAAAGAAGCAATAGCGCCTCTCGTTGATATGTCGTATGATGTCGTCACATCTGACAGAACAAAACCATGTCACCATGATTCACGGAAATTGACAATTAAAAAAACACCCAAAAAAAACCTACAGTACATCGACCTACGAGTAGCAGGGAAGATTGTTTATCCAACCAGAAAATGTTCAAGAAGGTTTTCAGAGTGGATGCCCCCGCCTCGACGAAGGCGGGCACAAAAAAAGAGCAATGCTTCCTCACTTCAAGTGCACCGGAGAAAACGTATGGTGCAAACAACAAACCAACTAAGCACACTCAACGAGCATCAACATCACAAACGAAGCAACGAACCAAAATGAGCCAAAGAGCGCGCAAGGAGTCAAAAATCAAGAACTTGGTCGTCACGAAGGCTAGCTCTTTGCCTTGGGGGGCAACAGCCGTTGGATTGCTGCCATCTACCCACTCCAAAGCACTTTGCGTGCGTTGAAGCAACAGTTGGAAAGGACAGCTTGAGTCGCAGTGGCTTAGTATGGCACAACTCTCCAGTCCAAGCATCTGGTCAAAAGCCAGTACTCTTTATAAAGCTCACTCACTGCCTCTGGGCCAAGGCAGAATCAACCCCCTCCTGCCCCCCTTCCAAAGGTTTCCAACTCAGACGTTCTTGGTACATGCACATCATTGATGCGTAAAGGAGAGTCAGAACCAAACAACATAGAACATGCTCTAAAACTGCAACA